ATTCCTGCTTCCGTACACACGGCCTGAAACCCGAGATCCATTCTTATAAATCGCCCACCCGTTTCAGATCGATATAAGGAAGTAGTCACTTTACAGGAAGGAGGAGTATAACATTACACACCTTAAGCTCAGCACCCGAAGCACCATTCATCTTCTCCGCAATCTTTTTCAGATCGATTCCACGCATCAAATTCATCTTCCTCGAGTGTATCTTCAATATATCGAACCGAGACTGCATACACAACAATGTTAGCTCATACATCAGGGCATTTACTCGCAACAAGCTCTATCAAAGTTAACACAATGAGCCCTATCAAAGTCATAGGATAGTATGCGTTGGAGAACCCAAAAGAAATCCCAATTCGAGGAGCAAAAAACAAAAAAGAAGAAATGACTACCCCATTCCTGAATGAGATTTTTGTATTTATAGGATCTAAGGCAACATAACTTCTCCACAACAGATGTCACAAAGGCTCATAAAAACCAAAATGCCTTCGCTCTTTTTCAGCAAGGAGAACAAGGAAATGAAGTGAAGAGTATTATTATGCAACAAATGACAGAAAATTGTCTGCCTTATTTGTCAATATTTAAGAATGCTTTTCACGTAAATTTTCCGATGTCAGGTTGCTTCGTTTTCACAGGAAAGCAACAGTAGTTTTTTTTTTAAACATCACTTTCTACCTAGAATAAGCAAATAAGAAATAAGGACAACTAACATTACCTCTTCATTAGGGTTTGGGAACTCAATCTTCCTATCAATCCTACCAGGCCTCAGAAGGGCTTGATCCAGAATATCAATCCGATTTGTGGCCATCAATACCTGCAAGGGTGATTATGAGAATCGGTGACTCTAGCTGTGTGGTATTAAATTAAAATATGGATGGTGACTTTATGGTCCAGGTACATGGATTTCTCCACATCCAATTGTAATGGGTACCTTGATTTTGTTTGATGCTTCGAATCCGTCAAGTTGATTGAGAAGCTCAAGCATAGTCCGCTGCACCTCGCTGTCGCCATTCCCACTCCCAGATTCCATACGAGCTGACCCGATACTATCGATTTCATCCATAAAGATAATTGATGGAGCATGCTCCCTGAAAAAAAAAATCAAACATGTGCACTCAAACAACTAACCGAAATCGAAAAGAAGGCATGCACGTGGAAAGATGCTCATCCCGCATTATGATATCATATCACAGCATACCATTCTGTATTTCAAAAAGTATCTTCTTAGACCATGCATTCACGATTTCACATTACATATAAGGACATTAGACATTCCGTGTTTGAGTATTTAAAATGACTCCAGCATCTATAATCTGGAAACAATTAAAATTAAGGATCATAATAAAGTTTCCTTTACGAACCTTGCCATGACAAAAAGCTCTCTGACCATTCTAGAGCCTTCTCCAATGTATTTCTGGACCAACTCTGAACCAGAAACTCTGATGAAAGTACAATCAGTGTGATGTGCCACAGCCCTAGCTAACAGTGTCTTCCCAGTTCCAGGTGGCCCATATAGCAATACACCCTAGAGAGAGAAACATTATGTTAATCTGCACCGTATTTAATCCGTTAACATATAGAGCAGGAAAAAGGTTGAAAAGCATATATACCTTTGGTTGTGCAATACCAAGAGACTCGAACAATTCAGGGTGCTTGATTGGAAGCTCGATGACCTGAAAGTTGTAACAATAATTGGATAAAAATTACAAGCATTAATAAGCCAACAGCATAAATCAGTGAAGTTTTGAAATTTTGACGCAATTCATACCTCCTTTATCTCCTTGATTTGCTGGTCAAGACCACCAATCATGTCATATGTGGAATCTGGAACCTTCTCAACTTTCATAAGGTTAACCAATGGATCCACTTTGCTTGGTAGGATTAGATGGAGAACATAGCTATCATTGCGCAGAGCAACTCTAGTCGATGGCGTTATTTTCGTGATGTCTATACTTTTGTCAATATCAACGACATACTTCCCCTCTGGATGAACCTGGAAAAACCAAAAAGGGAATTTAATGCCTTACCGAAAAATTTTAAGACAAAATCTTCATTACCATGCATACATGGTATTATTCAAAATAGAAGCCTACCAATTTACTCTTAGAACTAGAGTATTCCAAAGAAAATTCACAAAAAAAATCTGAAAAGTTAAACACAAAGACTCCTACCTTAACCAAGACCTTGTTTTTCCCCATTACTTTTACCACTTCACCCACATAGGATCCCGGTTCCTGAAGCAACTGCAACTCTTCTCTCAGCATTCTCACTGTTCAGTTTGATAGCAAAAAAATTGACAAAGAGGTTTAGAGTTTCAGATGTGATCAGAGATGATATCAACACCCAGGCTGTCCTATGATATCAAAGTCATGGATTACCAGAAGCAAATCCCCATATTAAGCCCTCCTTGGTGAGCACAATAACTCAATGAAGAATGAAACCCGCAAAGAACATGGTCCAATCACCACTACTGCCACCATACTTACAGCTGATTTCACTGGATTTTCCACAGTGACATTTACAAGAGTGCAAAAGCATGAATCCCCAGTTTGAAGGTACATTCAAACAAGTTTGACAAGATCACAATATTATAGTAGCACTCTCACAGAAGCAGGACTCCCCATAAAAGATGAACAATCTATACTTATTGTTTCCCACATCCCACTGAACCTTCCCCCCCAACTAGAAACCTCCGTACTCAATGCATACCACAAAATTCCTCCTGCATATATTGATTCAAATTAGGCTGAGACATGCATCAGAAATCTATGCAATATTTCTCCGAAAAAGATAGGATGGATTGCAAGGGCCTAAAACAGTAAATTTCAGTAGCTAGCTCCAAGACCAAGCTCGAAAAAACAGATCCAGCACAAATGACGAAGATACGCAATCTATGCCAAGAGAGTAAAAAACCATTCCTAGACACGAATCCATTAGAAATCTCCTACTTTCAACAACAGAATCAAATCGAAAACCGCCAACTCGAACTCCGCGGTTACAAAAAACCCTAAAATCGAAACCCATCCAAAACCAAAGACACCTGTCCCGAACACGAAGAATTAGGGTCGGGAACTGAGGGTGAGAGCCTCACCTCGAGAATTGAGCTCGTTGCGCTGAGCTTCGAGACGATTGAGGTTGTTAGTCTTCTGACGGAGCAGACGCTGAAGCTCGAGGATGTTCTGGAGATAGTACTGCTTCAGGCCTTCGCCTTGCTTCGCCGCTACAGCCTTGGCTTTGCAGGCCTCCTCCGTACCTTCGGGACGCCTAGCGTCGACGCCTACAGTCGCCATTTCCGCACGAGCTTGATCGACCGCTTCGTGTTTTCAGGGCAGAGGAAGAGAGAGAGAGAGTTTCTGGTTTTCTTTGAGATCAAGCTAAACGCAGGAGCTGAAGCAAATTTATTTATTTAATATATATATATATATATATATATATATATAAATATATATCACAAATTACATCTAAATCTTTATATTACACACATTACAAACAAAACATATAATACATAAAAAAAAATATATTTACATCAAACGAAAAACATTTATGATAAAATTATATTAAATATACCCACACAAAAAGGGATGGACTGTTCCATACAATTCCTCATCACCGAATTGCGTCAAACCGAGAAATATAATATTTTTTTATTTGAATCGTTCAAAATTTTCAAATTTTGTTATTTTAGAAAATTAAATTTTTTAAAATCGAATTGAACGAATTTTTTTAAAAAAAATCTATTTTCTAAAATAAAAACTGAACTAAATATGATGACCGATGTATACCTATTTTTATAAAACCGAAAAAACTGAATCAAATTATTTTCAAACCGAATACCCAAATGACTATCATTCAAATATATTTTAATGGTATATAAGAATATATCGATCAGGTAATGTCTACATTGTCTAGACTCTAGACTTTATAAAAAGAGCTATTTAGTGTTTTCGCTACGTTATATATTGTACCTTATTAGTTTTTGACATTTACTTCTCGAAATGTGGTGATTAAATCATTACATACACGAAAATAATACAAAGAAACCCAAATAAGTTGCTTCTTCCAAGTGCCCAACTCCACAAGAAGAACCTTCAATCAAAGACTGAATTCTTCAAGCCATATAATAACTTCGTTCCTCTGGAAACGCATGGTCATCAGAAACATCAATGTCAAAGCCCATAAAAATCACAATCGAATTCAGGGTTCTACAGAGAAGCATCAAGGTTCAATGACATTATGACCTGCTGGGGTTAACCACATGATGATGATATGAATGCCATAGATCATGACGATGATGGTGGCAAGCAAATCACAATTTCATGACAACATATCGATGATGAAGGCCCTTCGCCTTGCTTCGCCGCTACAGCCTTGGCTTTGCAGGCCTCCTCCGTACCTTCGGGACGCCTAGCGTCGACGCCTACAGTCGCCATTTCCGCACGAGCTTGATCGACCGCTTCGTGTTTTCAGGGCAGAGGAAGAGAGAGAGAGAGTTTCTGGTTTTCTTTGAGATCAAGCTAAACGCAGGAGCTGAAGCAAATTTATTTATTTAATATATATATATATATATATATATATATATAAATATATATCACAAATTACATCTAAATCTTTATATTACACACATTACAAACAAAACATATAATACATAAAAAAAAATATATTTACATCAAACGAAAAACATTTATGATAAAATTATATTAAATATACCCACACAAAAAGGGATGGACTGTTCCATACAATTCCTCATCACCGAATTGCGTCAAACCGAGAAATATAATATTTTTTTATTTGAATCGTTCAAAATTTTCAAATTTTGTTATTTTAGAAAATTAAATTTTTTAAAATCGAATTGAACGAATTTTTTTAAAAAAAATCTATTTTCTAAAATAAAAACTGAACTAAATATGATGACCGATGTATACCTATTTTTATAAAACCGAAAAAACTGAATCAAATTATTTTCAAACCGAATACCCAAATGACTATCATTCAAATATATTTTAATGGTATATAAGAATATATCGATCAGGTAATGTCTACATTGTCTAGACTCTAGACTTTATAAAAAGAGCTATTTAGTGTTTTCGCTACGTTATATATTGTACCTTATTAGTTTTTGACATTTACTTCTCGAAATGTGGTGATTAAATCATTACATACACGAAAATAATACAAAGAAACCCAAATAAGTTGCTTCTTCCAAGTGCCCAACTCCACAAGAAGAACCTTCAATCAAAGACTGAATTCTTCAAGCCATATAATAACTTCGTTCCTCTGGAAACGCATGGTCATCAGAAACATCAATGTCAAAGCCCATAAAAATCACAATCGAATTCAGGGTTCTACAGAGAAGCATCAAGGTTCAATGACATTATGACCTGCTGGGGTTAACCACATGATGATGATATGAATGCCATAGATCATGACGATGATGGTGGCAAGCAAATCACAATTTCATGACAACATATCGATGATGAAGCTGATGTAAATGATAGGGAATGATGGTGCAGATGATAAAAAGGAGGGTTCGAAAAAAAAAACCCCGAATTTCTGTACTCAGTTATTTATGAGATAAGATCAGGTTTAGTCACAAGAAAAACCCAAAAAATCGGATTTGGGTTCGGATAATAGGTTTATTATGACCTCGGGCACTCGAATGAAGAGTAAATTATCTTTTTGTGCTAGGTTTCAAAATTGAAAATGTCTCGAAATTTTGAGTTTGAATTCGGATAACCCTGGTATTTGATCCAAACCAACCTTATTCTGCATACCCACTGTATCCAAAAATTATCTCGAGTACCCGACTTTCAGATATCTGACCAAAATGGATCCGAGATCAAATAATATCTCGTTATATACGAACCATTTGGATTCGGGTAATTCTAAAATCACGCATACATGAGTTGCATCCACCTCTAGTAGTAAGAGAGTTCATGGCTAGTGGGAGACTGGTATAAACACTAAACAGAGAAAGAAACTAAGGAAATCAGATCATAGAGGAGCTCAGAAATAGTTATCATACCATTATGAAGTCCCGTGTTCGACCAGGATCATTGTAGCGAGCAAGCAGGCAGCCCGTCTTAGGTCTAAAACCATCCCTAATCAGACTGTCTCTGAGTTCTCTCTCTTTCACCTGCACGACATCCTCCGTAGGTTTCCCGCTGAATTTAACCACGGCAGCAAACCCGCCTTCGGATTTCTTCAAGTTTATCTTTTCTTCACTAGGCGTCGGTAAGCTAGATGCAAATACAAACACCCGTTACTTAATAGTTTATACACAATATTGAACATACTCGAAACTGAATAAAACTATGTGTAGCCAGTTTGTGGTACAGTTCAGAACTGCATTCTTTCCTTACAAGATCTCTGATTATGGCAATCCAATCAATTTTCTAACAATCTACGTCAAATCATTTTTTTCTTGTTTTTTTTTTCATAGGAGCTTTCTAGTCCATGTTCATGAAAACTTATATTTTGGATATTTCCAAATGCATTTGATTTCATCCCGAAAACCATGTTTTTTAAAATATAATTTATATTTCATAAAAAACTGATAATCTTCTACCTGCTCAGATCTTTTTCTGATGGAATGACTATCTGGATGGACACAGCAGAGAGTTCGGGATTTGTTGCCTGGGTAAACACCGGAGTTGTCATGCGTATTTTCTCCGACGTGGAATTCTTTCCAAATATATAGCTGCACGAATGGATTTTGTGACATTAATCACGCAAACCAGAGAAATGAATCAAAATTAAAAAAGGTCTCTACCCAGCAACGTTGTTAAATCCTGATGAACCGGAGAGCTTGTCACCATTTGTCTCCACCACTATGAAGGGTTCATACTCTCTGACCTGCAAATCATTGACAACAACTAATTTTTCCAAATTTCCCAAAGCATTCCATTGCCATTGATATGATTTTAAAAAACAGGAAATAAGTAACCTCATAATCTGCCGTTCTTTTCAGAATTTGATACTTTGGAGTTTCCAAGTCAGGTGTTTTATATGGCCGTAACTGCAAAGAATAATACAAAACTCACTCGAGAGAGATGCTAAATTATATTGACATGGTTACAGACATTCCTTGTCATTTAAAACAAATGGAAGAACTACCTGCTTAAGTACATCAAATAGACCTTCTAGAGAGAAGTAGTCATTGTTCTTGATAGAGTCCCAAAAGTCCTGAGCATTCAAATGTTACAACTTAGATGTCTCGATGGCTTTTTTCAAGAGAAAGATTAGACACATCAAGATGGGAGATGGGTCGACCATACCAGATGGCTACAGAACTTGCCAGTTTCTGGGTTGACAGCCATGACAGATGTCCCTGTAAATACAAGCTCCGGTTTCCATGGAAGAAGCAAGAACTTCATCACCATCGTCCATCTGGTAGTTATCTCGTATGGCCCTGTCTATAGCAGCTGCACCAGTCTAAGAATATGGCATTTCTTTCTCGGAACAACTATCACTATGACTTGAAATAGAAAACAATATGATCTTCAGTTCAAAAGAATAAACAGCGATCTCGGTTAACGAGTTCTTGAGCGATTCATGGAGAAAAGTAAGTGTCTGAAAACATGAAGAATCGCTCTCCTTTGGAATCGAGGGTTATTCCTGCTTAATGGTAGATTTGTAAGTACTCCGAAAAGGAGAGGTTCTTCAAGTTCTTGAAAACAGACAAACATGGAGCAAAACCCATCTCAAATCATATGATACAAGAATGAGCAATTATGTGGTGTGCATATTCTTTAACTAAACTTATACGCTAATGAAGGAGATCCAAATCTTATGGCAACAGATTCATCTTTCATTTTTTCCCAAAGAATTCATTGATATACAAGTTCAACTCAGTTACTCAGCAGCACCATTGTACTACAGAAGTCACTAGCACGACCTTGCGTGCATACATGAAGACATTATAGTGAATGTTAAGTAGTTCTTTGTCTCATCAGAATCAGTGGACTAAAACAATTTAGAGGCAAACCAAATGGATAAACCCTAAAATCAAATCAAAGATGAATCGGAAAGTTAGCAAGACCTGTTCGTTTCACCCAATGAAGGTCAAAATTAGGCCTGAAGAGAACCTTCAATAAATCAATATTGAAGAGATAACCACCGATACTGTCGTGCTTAGTGATGGGGTCCCTGAACTTCACGCGTTCATCATACGCCGTCCGATCAATGCCCTTATCGTCGAACAGGTGTGGCAAATCCTCGTACAGGAAATCTACGAGCCGTTCCATGTCGGCCGACGGCGACGGCTGAGGGCTCTCCTTGTCCACCTGAAGACTCATCCTCAGCTGAATCCGCCGCCGCGGAATCGACGGGATTTTGTTGGGCTTGAGACCGGAGATGAAGCAAGTGGTGGTTCCAAGTCGCCGGAAACCAACCCCTCCGCCGCGGCCGGAGGTGTGGATTGGCGGGAAGAGTTGGCCAGAGACCTGTACAGCGGTAGCCATGGAATTTTTATTTTTTATTTTTAAAAAAATAGTTTGATAACATTTATGCGTTCCATTTTTCTTTATTTTCCGTCCTCAAGTTTATTTTCAATTTATTTTCTCCAGTCCCCAAGTAAACTTTATTTATAAAAAAGTCCTTGTAAATTATGAGAAATCACAATTACACCCAAACAATCAATTTTATTTTAAAACAAAACGTGTCGGTGACCACTCTCTCCCACGATCCATTCTACAACAGTAGCAGAAAGAGATCGCAACAAGATTCAACAGTGGAGTCATCATCTTCATCAGCATCATCGTCCTCGTCTTCTTCTTCTTCTTCTTCTTCTTCACCAATTTTTCTCTGATTCAATCTCAGATCCACTCTCTTCGTCCACTGATCTCGTTCTTGCAAAATCCCTAGCCCCAATCCAACGACAATGTCGTCTTCTTCCTCCCGATTCGATCCCTCCAAACAATACTACGCCACGAGCAGCCTTGTCGTCGGATACGCTCTCTGCTCGAGCCTCCTCGCCGTCATCAACAAGTTCGCCATCACTTGGTTCAACTTCCCCGGCCTCCTCACCGCTCTT